TAGAATAAGTGATCACAATTGTATCAAAGACTTATTAATCTCGATTTCGACTTCCAGAAGTTTAGATTAGGAACCGCCGGCAACCCACATGTTATGTTATTTAGAAAACATGTACTATGTATTAGGTCTTGTGGTACAGATTATTTCGAATTCAATTTCCCAAACTCGAGGTTGAGAACACTTCTAATGCGTCATTGGCTTGTTGGTCTAGTGGTACGATTCCTGTTTCGGGTACAGGAGGTCCCGGGTTCAAACCCCGGACAAGCCCTTGCTTTTTAACTGGACTGGAATGGAATGGTACTTCATCTTATCATTTAACAATTATGTAATTTGTATAAACGTTTTCATTGTTGCAATATAAAGTAACACATGTTGGACAGGTTTCCAACTCCAGTAAAAATATTCGCTCTCTGAAAGTAAATTATGCTATGTAAATTCATAGAATATGTGATCACAATTGTATCAAAGACTTATTAGTCTCGATTTCGACTTCCAAAAGTTAAAGTTAGGAACCGCGGGCAACCCACATGTTATGTTATTTAGAAAACATATACTATGTATTAGGTCTTGTGGTACAATTAATTTCTAATTCAATTTCTGAAACTCGAGGTTGAGAATTCCGTTAATGGGTCATTGGCTTGTTGGTCTAGAGCTAAGATTCCTGTTTCGGGTACAGAAGGTCCCGCGTTCGAACCCTGCACAATCCCTCTTTTTTTTAACTGGAATGGAATGGTACTTCAGTTTATCATTTAACAAGTATGTAATTTGTATAAACTTGCAGATTGTTGCAATATAAAGTAACAAATGTTGGACAGGTTTCCAACTCCAGTAAAAAATATTCGCTCTCTGAAAGTAATTGATGCTATGTAAATTCATAGAATAAGTGATCACAACTGTATCAAAGACTTATTAATCTCGATTTCGACTTCCAGAAGTTGAGATTAGGAACCGCGGGCAACCCACAGGTTATGTTATTAAGAAAACATTTACTATGTATTAGGTCTTGTGGTACAATTTATTTCTAATTCAATTTCTGAAACTCGAGTGAGAACACAGTATTGCGTCATGGCTTGTGGTCTAGTGGTACGATTCCTGTTTCGGGTACTGGAGGTCCCCAGTTCGAACTCGGACAAGCCCTTTTTTTAACTGGAATGGTGCTTCATCTTAACAATGATGAATTATGTAATTTGTATAAACTTGCAGTTTGTTGCAATATAAAGTAACACATGTTGGACAGGTTTCCCAACTCCAGTAAAACATATTCGCTCTCTGAAACTAATTGATGCTATGTAAATTCATAGAATAAGTGATCACAACTGTATCAAAGACTTATTAATCTCGATTTCGACTCCCAAAAGTTGAGATAAGGAACCGCGGGCAACCCACATGTTATGTTATTTAGAAAACATATACTATGTATAAGGTCTTGTGGTACAATTTAATTCTAATTCAATTTCAGAAACTCGAGGTTGAGAACACAGTTAATGCGTCATTGGCTTGTTGGTCTAGTGGTACGATTCTTGTTTCGGGTACAGGAGGTCCCGGGTTCAAACCCCGGACAAGCCCTTGATTTTTAACTGGACTGGAATGGAATGGTACTTCATCTTATCATTTAACAATTATGTAATTTGTATAAACGTTTTCATTGTTGCAATATAAAGAAACACATGTTGGACAGGTTTCCAACTCCAGTAAAAATATTCGCTCTCTGAAAGTAAATTATGCTATGTAAATTCATAGAATATGTGATCACAATTGTATCAAAGACTTATTAGTCTCGATTTCGACTTCCAAAAGTTAAAGTTAGGAACCGCGGGCAACCCACATGTTATGTTATTTAGAAAACATATACTATGTATTAGGTCTTGTGGTACAATTAATTTCTAATTCGATTTCTGAAACTCGAGGTTGAAAATTCTGTTAATGCGTCATTGGCTTGTTGGTCTAGAGGTACGATTCCTGTTTCGGGTACAGGAGGTCCCGGGTTCGAACCCTGGACAATCCCTGGTATTTTTTAACTGGAATGGAATGGTACTTCATCTTATCATTTAACAATTATGTAATTTGTATAAACTTGCAGATTGTTGCAATATAAAGTAACAAATGTTGGACAGGTTTCCAACTCCAGTAAAACATATTTGCTCTCTGAAACTAAATGATGCTATGTAAATTCATAGAATATGTGATCACATTTGTATCAATGACTTATTAGTCTCGATTTCGACTTCCAAAAGTTAAAGTTACGAACCCCGGGCAACCCACATGTTATGCTATTTAGAAAACATATACTATGTATTAGGTCTTGTGGTACAATTTATTTCTAATTCAATTTCCCAAACTCGAGGTTGAGAACAGTGTTAATGCTTCAATGGCTTGTTGGTCTAGTGATACGATTCCTGTTTCGGGTACAGGAGGTCTCGGGTTCGAACCCCGGACAAGCCCTTAGTTTTTAACTGGAACGGTACTTCACCTTATCATTTAACAATTAAGTAATTTGTATAAACTTGCAGATTGTTGCAATATAAAGTAACACATGTTGCACAGGTTTCCAACTCCAGTAAAACATATTCGCTCTCTGAAAGTAAATGATGCTATGTAAATTCATAGAATAAGTGATCACAACTGTATCAAAGACTTATTAATCTCGATTTCGACTTCCAGAAGTTGAGATTAGGAACCGCGGGCAACCCACATGTTATGTTATTTAGAAAACATATACTATGTATTAGGTCTTGTGGTACAATTTATTTCTAATTCAATTTCTGAAACTCGAGGTTGAGAATTCTGTTAATGCGTCATTGGCTTGTTGGTCTAGTGGTACGATTCCTGTTTCGGGTACAGGAGGTCCCGGGTTCAAACCCCGGACAAGCCCTTGCTTTTTAACTGGACTGGAATGGAATGGTACTTCATCTTATCATTTAACAATTATGTAATTTGTATAAACTTGCAGATTGTTGCAATATAAAGTAACAAATGTTGGACAGGTTTCCAACTCCAGTAAAAAACATTCGCTCTCTGAAAGTAATTGATGCTATGTAAATTCATAGAATAAGTGATCACAATTGTATCAAAGACTTATTAATCTCGATTTCGACTTCCAGAAGTTTAGATTAGGAACCGCCGGCAACCCACATGTTATGTTGTTTAGAAAACATGTACTATGTATTAGGTCTTGTGGTACAATTTATTTCTAATTCAATTTCCCAAACTCGAGGTTGAGAACACTTCTAATGCGTCATTGGCTTGTTGGTCTAGTGGTACGATTCTTGTTTCGGGTACAGGAGGTCCCGGGTTCAAACCCCGGACAAGCCCTTGCTTTTTAACTGGACTGGAATGGAATGGTACTTCATCTTATCATTTAACAATTATGTAATTTGTATAAATGTTTTCATTGTTGCAATATAAAGTAACACATGTTGGACAGGTTTCCAACTCCAGTAAAACATATTCGCTCTCTGAAAGTAATTGATGCTATGTAAATTCATAGAATAAGTGATCACAATTGTATCAAAGACTTATTAATCTCGATTTCGACTTCCAGAAGTTTAGATTAGGAACCGCCGGCAACCCACATGTTATGTTGTTTAGAAAACATGTACTATGTATTAGGTCTTGTGGTACAATTTATTTCTAATTCAATTTCCCAAACTCGAGGTTGAGAACACTTCTAATGCGTCATTGGCTTGTTGGTCTAGTGGTACGATTCTTGTTTCGGGTACAGGAGGTCCCGGGTTCAAACCCCGGACAAGCCCTTGCTTTTTAACTGGACTGGAATGGAATGGTACTTCATCTTATCATTTAACAATTATGTAATTTGTATAAACGTTTTCATTGTTGCAATATAAAGTAACACATGTTGGACAGGTTTCCAACTCCAGTAAAACATATTCGCTCTCTGAAAGTAATTGATGCTATGTAAATTCATAGAATAAGTGATCACAATTGTATCAAAGACTTATTAATCTCGATTTCGACTTCCAGAAGTTTAGATTATGAACCGCCGGCAACCCACATGTTATGTTATTTAGAAAACATGTACTATGTATTAGGTCTTGTGGTACAATTTATTTCTAATTCAATTTCCCAAACTCGAGGTTGAGAACACTTCTAATGCGTCATTGGCTTGTTGGTCTAGTGGTACGATTCTTGTTTCGGGTACAGGAGGTCCCGTTTTCAAACCCCGGACAAGCCCTTGCTTTTTAACTGTACTGGAATGGAATGGTACTTCATCTTATCATTTAACAATTATGTAATTTGTATAAACGTTTTCATTGTTGCAATATAAAGTAACACATGTTGGACAGGTTTCCAACTCCAGTAAAAATATTCGCTCTCTGAAAGTAAATTATGCTATGTAAATTCATAGAATATGTGATCACAATTGTATCAAAGACTTATTAGTCTCGATTTCGACTTCCAAAAGTTAAAGTTAGGAACCGCGGGCAACTCACATGTTATGTTATTTAGAAAACATATACTATGTATTAGGTCTTGTGGTACAATTAATTTCTAATTCGATTTCTGAAACTCGAGGTTGAAAATTCTGTTAATGCGTCATTGGCTTGTTGGTCTAGAGGTACGATTCCTGTTTCGGGTACAGGAGGTCCCGGGGTTCGAACCCTGGACAATCCCTGGTATTTTTTAACTGGAATGGAATGGTACTTCATCTTATCATTTAACAAGTATGTAATTTGTATAAACTTGCAGATTGTTGCAATATAAAGTAACAAATGTTGGACAGGTTTCTAACTCCAGTAAAAATATTCGCTCTCTGAAAGTATTTGATGCTATGTAAATTCATAGAATAAGTGATCACAACTGTATCAAAGACTTATTAATCTCGATTTCGACTTCCAGAAGTTGAGATAAGGAACCCGCGGGGCAACCCCACATGTTATGTTATTTAGAAAACTTATACTATGTATTAGGTCTTGTGGTACAATTTTATTTCTAATTCAATTTCTGAAACTCAAGGTTGAGAATTCTGTTAATGCGTCATTGGCTTGTTGGTCTAGTGGCACGATTCCTGTTTTGGGTACAGGAGCTCCCGGGTTCGAACCCCGGACAAGCCCTTGTTTTTTTAACTGGAATGGAATGGTACTTCATCTTATCATTTAACAATTATGTAATTTGTATAAACATGCAGATTGTTGGAATATAAAGTAACAAATGTTGGACAGGTTTCCAACTCCAGTAAAAAATATTCGCTCTCTGAAAGTAATTGATGCTATGTAAATTCATAGAATAAGTGATCACAATTGTATCAAAGACTTATTAATCTCGATTTCGACTTCCTGAAGTTTAGATTAGGAACCGCCGGCAACCCACATGTTAAGTTATTTAGAAAACATATACTATGTATTAGGTCTTGTGGTACAATTTATTTCTAATTCAATTTCCCAAACTCGAGGTTAAGAACACGTCTAATGCGTCATTGGCTTGTTGGTCTCGTGGTACGATTCCTGTTTCGGGTACGGGAGGTCCTGGGTTCAAACCCCGGACAAGCCCTTGTTTTTTAACTGGACTGGAATGGAATGGTACTTCATCTTATCATTTAAGAATTATGTAATTTGTATAAAGGTTTTCATTGTTGCAATATAAAGTAACACATGTTGGACAGGTTTCCAACTCCAGTAAAAATATTCGCTCTCTGAAAGTAAATTATGCTATGTAAATTCATAGAATATGTGATCACAATTGTATCAAAGACTTATTAGTCTCGATTTCGACTTCCAAAAGTTAAAGTTAGGAACCGCGGGCAACCCACATGTTATGTTATTTAGAAAACATATACTATGTATTAGGTCTTGTGGTACAATTAATTTCTAATTCAATTTCTGAAACTCGAGGTTGAGAATTTTGATAATGCGTCACTGGCTTGTTTGTCTAGAGGTACGCTTCCTGTTTCGGGTACAGGACATCCTGGGTTCGAACCCTGGACAATCCCTGGTTTTTTTTAACTGGAATGGAATGGTACTTCAGTTTATCATTTAACAAGCATGTAATTTGTATAAACTTGCAGATTGTTGCCATATAAAGTAACAAATGTTGGACGGGTTTCCAACTCCAGGAAAACATATTTGATCTCTGAAACTAAATGATGCTATGTAAGTTCATAGAATATGTGATCACATTTGTATCAATGACTTATTAGTCTCGATTTCCAAAAGTTAAAGTTACGAACCCCGGGCAACCCACATGTTATGCTATTTAGAAAACATATACTATGTACTAGGTCTTGTGGTACAGATTATTTCGAACTCAATTTTCCAAACTCGAGGTTGAGAACAGTGTTAATGCTTCAATGCCTTGTTGGTCTAGTGGTACGATTCCTGTTTCGGGTACAGGAGGTCCCGGGTTCGAACCCCGGACAAGCCCTTAGTTTTTAACTGGAACGGTACTTCACCTTCATCATTTAACAATTAAGTAATTTGTATAAACTTGCAGATTGTTGCAATATAAAGTAACACATGATGCACAGGTTTCCAACTCCAGTAAAACATATTCGCTCTCTGAAAGTAATTGATGCTATGTAAATTCATAGAATAAGTGATCACAACTGTATCAAAGACTTATTAATCTCGATTTCGACTTCCAGAAGTTGAGATTAGGAACCGCGGGCAACCCACATGTTATGTTATTTAGAAAACATATACTATGTATTAGGTCTTGTGGTACAATTTATTTCTAATTCAATTTCTGAAACTCGAGGTTGAGAATTCTGTTAATGCGTCATTGGCTTGTTGGTCTAGTGGTACGATTCCTGTTTCGGGTACAGGACGTCTCGGGTTCGAACCCCGGACAAGCCCTGGTTTTTTGAATGGAATGGAATGGTACTTCATCTTATCATTTAACAATTATGTAATTTGTATAAACTTGCAGATTGTTGCAATATAAAGTAACAAATGTTGGACAGGTTTCCAACTCCAGTAAAACATATTCGCTCTCTGAAAGTAATTGATGCTATGTAAATTCATAGAATAAGTGATCACAATTGTATCAAAGACTTATTAATCTCGATTTCGACTTCCAGAAGTTTAGATTAGGAACCGCCGGCAACCCACATGTTATGTTATTTAGAAAACATGTACTATGTATTAGGTCTTGTGGTACACTTTATTTCTAATTCAATTTCCCAAACTAGAGGTTGAGAACACTTCTAATGCGTCATTGGCTTGTTGGTCTAGTGGTACGATTCTTGTTTCGGGTACAGGAGGTCCCGGGTTCAAACCCCGGCCAAGCACTTGCTTTTTAACTGGACTGGAATGGAATGGTACTTCATCTTATCATTTAACAATTATGTAATTTGTATAAACGTTTTCATTGTTGCAATATAAATTAACACATGTTGGACAGGTTTCCAACTCCAGTAAAAATATTCGCTCTCTGAAAGTAAATTATGCTATGTAAATTCATAGAATATGTGATCACAATTGTATCAAAGACTTATTAGTCTCGATTTCGACTTCCAAAAGTTAAAGTTAGGAACCGCGGGCAACCCACATGTTATGTTATTTAGAAAACATATACTATGTATTAGGTCTTGTGGTACAATTAATTTCTAATTCGATTTCTGAAACTCGAGGTTGAGAATTCTGTTAATACGTCATTGGCTTGTTGGTCTAGAGGTACGATTCCTGTTTCGGGTACAGGAGGTCCCGGGTTCAAACCCCGGACAAGCCTTTGCTTTTTAACTGGACTGGAATGGAATGGTACTTCATCTTATCATTTAACAATTATGTAATTTGTATAAACGTTTTCATTGTTGCAATATAAAGTAACACATGTTGGACAGGTTTCCAACTCCAGTAAAAATATTCGCTCTCTGAAAGTAAATTATGCTATGTAAATTCATAGAATATGTGATCACATTTGTATCAATGACTTATTAGTCTCGATTTCGACTTCCAGAAGTTGAGATTAGGAACCGCGGGCAACCCACATGTTATGTTATTTAGAAAACATATACTATGTATTAGGTCTTGTGGTACAATTTATTTCTAATTCAATTTCCCAAACTCGAGGTTGAGAACACTTTTAATGCGTCAATGGCTTGTTGGTCTAGTGGTACGATTCCTGTTTCGGGTACTGGAGGTCCCAGTTCGAACCTCGGACAAGCCTTTGGTTTTTAACTGGAATTGTGCTTCATCTTAATAATTATGAATTATGTAATTTGTATAAACTTGCAGTTTGTTGCAATATAAAGTAACACATGTTGGACAGGTTTCCAACTCCAGTAAAACATATTCGCTCTCTGAAACTAATTGATGCTATGTAAATTCATAGAATAAGTGATCACAACTGTATCAAAGACTTATTAATCTCGATTTCGACTCCCAAAAGTTGAGATAAGGAACCCAGGGCAACCCACATGTTATGTTATTTAGAAAACATATACTATGTATTAGGTGTTGTGATACAATTTAATTCTAATTCAATTTCAGAAACTCGAGGTTGAGAATACAGTTAATGCGTCATTGGTTTGTTGGTCTAGTGGTACGATTCCTGTTTCGGGTACAGGAGGTCCCGGGTTCGAACTGCGGACAAGCCCTTAGTTTTTAACTGGAATGGTACTTCACCTTATCATTTAACAATTATGCAATTTGTATAAACTTGCAGATTGTTGCAATATAAAGTAACATATGTTGCACAGGTTTCCAACTCCAGTAAAACATATTCGCTCTCTGAAAGTAATTGATGCTATGTAAATTCATAGAATAAGTGATCACAACTGTATCAAAGACTTATTAATCTCGATTTCGACTTCCAGAAGTTGAGATTAGGAACCGCCGGCAACCCACATGTTATGTTATTTAGAAAACATATACTATGTATTAGGTCTTGTGGTACAATTTATTTCTAATTCAATTTCTGAAATTCGAGGTTGAGAATTCTGTTAATGCGTCATTGGCTTGTTGGTCTAGTGGTACGATTCCTGTTTCGGGTACAGGACGTCTCGGGTTCGAACCCCGGACAAGCCCTGGTTTTTTAACTGGAATGGAATGGTACTTCATCTTATCATTTAACAATTATGTAATTTGTATAAACTTGCAGATTGTTGCAATATAAAGTAACAAATGTTGGACAGGTTTCGAACTCCAGTAAAAAATATTCGCTCTCTGAAAGTAAATTGATGCTATGTAAATTCATAGAATAAGTGATCACAACTGTATCAAAGACTTATTAATCTCGATTTCGACTTACAGAAGTTAAGATTAGGAACCGCGGGCAACCCACATGTTATGTTATTTAGAAAACATATACTATGTATTAGGTCTTGTGGTACAATTTATTTCTAATTCAATTTCCCAAACTCGAGGTTGAGAACAGTGTTAATGCTTCAATGGCTTGTTGGTCTAGTGGTACGATTCCTGTTTCGGGTACAGGAGGTCCCGGGTTCAAACCCCGGACAAGCCCTTGCTTTTTAACTGGACTGGAATGGAATGGTACTTCATCTTATCATTTAACAATTATGTAATTTGTATAAACGTTTTCATTGTTGCAATATAAAGTAACACATGTTGGACAGGTTTCCAACTCCAGTAAAAATATTCGCTCTCTGAAAGTAAATTATACTATGTAAATTCATAGAATATGTGATCACAATTGTATCAAAGACTTATTAGTCTCGATTTCGACTTCCAAAAAGTTAAAAGTTAAGAACCGCGGGGC